ACAGTGGAGAGGAAAAACTCCCTTTGAACAGGAAGAAACCTCCAGCAGAACCAGGATCTTCAGCAGAATTTAGTTCTACTGTGATTTCTGACAGACCATAAATGTTCACATGAATTAATGTGTTTTGCTGAAGGCTAGCATGCTAAAGGTTCGTATCTGATTTCTCTCCTAGATATGCTTTTCAGTTTGCACCTTGTCAGGAGATCAGCTTCTTCCAAGCTATCAAGGTTTAGTTTGTTTTATTTATACAAAGATGCTGAATTTAAAATGAATTCAGCCGCTTCACTGATTTTGTTTTCAGAGAAAGTCAAAGTTTCTCCTGAAATAAATCCAGACATGTTAACTCAGATATTAAAGTTCCGTTTTTCTCCACGGTGGGTTTGTTTCTGACACGTTGCATGTCTGCTTCTGATCCCCCTAAGGTGACAGTCTATACGGCTGCTAAATGTGGTGCAAATCTGGTTGTTGTAGACCTACGCCTATACAGACTTCCTGTATGTTTTACAGTTCGCTGCTGATTCTAGGCTGTGTGTGATTGCTTCCCAGTTTCAGCATCAGGTTTAATATTTCCACTCGATGCAGACTGAAGGAGTAAAACATTCCCAGTTCAAACCAGTTAAATAACTCTGATCTGTGTGCTGGGAAACCAGTCATCTACTCTATAAAAGCACGGATGGTTTATAAACCATCACTCACTTTTTCAGCATTGGTTGTAATTGGATTAAAAATCTCACTCTGGGGAAAAAACAAAAAAACATTAAAATATGAACGACGTGACGCAGCCGACGCTGCTGGAAGAATTTACATCAGAATTTAGAAAGTTAGCAGGTTTTCCATCCAGTTTTCCTCTTTTTACACGAGTAAAATATATGGAAGACACAGAAATGACAGAGGCAACCTCACAGGGCTGAATACCTTAAATAAAATATCCAGAACAATAAATATGCTGATAAAAACAGTAAAGCAGATAAAGTGGCTCCTGACGCCTCCTCCTCCTCCTCCTCCTCCTCCTCCTCCTCCACTGCTTTCAGCTGCAGCTTTAGACGCTCTGCTGTGTATTTTCTTAGGAAGGCTTCTCTCCCTGCAGAAAACCATCTGATTCCTTCTGCATTGGAAACAAATGAGGGAAAATATGCAGAAAGGTGCTGCTGGTAAATCAGGAATCTAACAAAGACGATCATTATTCTGGGAGAAATGATAATCTGACCAGTGAAGCTGAATGAATCCAGAACATTTGCAGCAGAGTCTTCATTGTGTGACGCCTCTCTGCAGGAGTTGTTGGTTCGAGCCCCGCAAACAACTTCACAGCTAAATGTGACGCCGTGAAAAACACATTTTCTTTACATAATTCTCATCGTGTTATATTGAGTTTTATTAATAATAGTTGTATTTTAATTATATATTATCTAGTATTGGCTTATTTTTTTATTGATTAAATAAAGTGTGCTTTAAAAAAACAAGACAGTCAATAAATAAATCATTTGAGTAAAGAAAATAAATAATCTGCACCTTTATCAGACAGGAACATTTCCACAGACAGGAGGTCTGAGGTTCGAACGCTGCTTTCATCCATCGCTGGTTCCAGTGAAGACGGGAGGTGTTTAATGGTAGATGATTGGGACCCAGATGTTCCTGCAGCAGGTTCCTCTGGCCGGGAACGCTGTGGGCTCCTATAGGTGGCGCTGCAGAGCTTAGTTCCAGAAGACGTCCTCCTGTCATCTCTGCCATTAGGAGCTCAGAGCATTCAGGAGTCCATGTGGGGAAACTGGGGAAAGTTCAGGGGTGATTTTTCCCTCCCACTTCAAACCATTATGGCGTCAGATTGACCTCCTTCCTGTTGGCGTGAGAAGTCTGATGGTGTAATTTAGGAGGCTGTGAGGATGAAACGTAGGCGGACAGAAAACAATCAACATTAAGATGTTTTTTCTTCCTATCTGCTGACGATGAGTGAATTCAGGTTCAAACTGGTCCTTCTCCTCCCTGCATCATTATTCTGCTGCCAGCGGCTCCATCAGAGCTGCACTGCCGGACCGTTCATAATGCATCAGCGTGCCTGAACGCAGCACAGCAAACGCACCAAACTCCCATTAATATTACACAATAATCAATCTGAAATAAGCTGCTTTTAAACATTTAAACTTTACAGTTTTCTTTCTCTCTGAAACATGAACAGAATAAAAAAAATAAAATATTTGAAAAGTTTTGAACAGAAATGAGACTTTGATGATTCTGGAGTTAAACATCAATGATCAATGTTTTTGTTCCAGCCTCAGTCGAGCCGTTAGCGCTCATTTCACCACTTCAGGTTTTTATAAAGAATTAGTTTTTTATTCCATCAGACTAATTCTCTAATGACTGCTTTGTTTTTTTAATCTTTTCGGTATTTTAGAGTCTGATGTGAACCTTTATGCTTCCATAGCCGACCTGTTTGCCACTGTGGGACAATAAAGACGTTTCTGTTCTATTTTACTCTAATAATACTTTCTGCAGTCAGCCAGCTGCTGCAGCTGCAGCTGTTCGGGTCGTTTTGGTTTCTGCTTTTCTGTCTGCGGTTCTTTCCAAGCAGACTAACAAATCAGAGACAAGCTGAGGCTCCGTTTCTCACCGACAACCAGATAAGATCTATAGAGGGAGGCTGAGATGCAGCCCTCCTCCTCCTCCTCCTCCTCTCTGCTACAGTCACTGGCTTCATTAGGGAGAACCGGAACCAACGACCGTCTGATAGGGAGAAGCAGAACCTGGAGAACAACAGGAAGTAGGCCAAACTCGAGGACAGAAGCTGCTGAAGGTTCTTAGAACCGTTTCTAAGATCTGGGCCTTCAGAGAAGCAGACAGAACCACAGAGAGAACCTGGATCAACTTCCTCAGGAGGTTCTACTAAGAGAAGGACCCAGAACAGGCCAGAGGTCAGAGGTCATGGTTCAACGATCAGACTCTGGGTCCAACTGGCCTCCAGGGTCAGAACCACTGCTGACCCAAAAAGATCAAAGGTCCGATTCAGAACCAGAACCAACATCTGATGATCCAGAGAAAACCAGCAGCTGGTTCTGCCTTCATGGTCTCAGAGCTCTGAAGGGTCTCAGCTCCAGAAGTTCTGGTTTGATTTGTTATTTTTATTAACTGGTAAATATTTTCCATCTAAATGAGATCAGTTAGTTCTACTGACACCTTAAAAGCCATCGATGAAACATGGCGGTGGCTCCATGCTGGTGTGGGGGAGACCTGAGGTGACCACAGGCTGCTCAGCCAGGCTCTCCCTGCTGTCCTTTAGCTCCTAATGAAAGGTTCTCATAATGACGTCTTTCTGTTTGAGGACAGAAAGCTGCTCCTTCCGTCACATTAAACCTCAGTGGAAAATGTACAAATTTAAATGTTTGCATTTCATGAGACAAAAAAACATTTAATCCTCAGATCAGAAAAAAACTCTTTGATTTATTAATAAAGTGGCATTTTAACTGCATTACAGACATTATTATTATTATGATTATTATTATTATTATTCATTTGCTAATTAATATTCTCTGTTCTATCCTTCATAATTCCTAAACTCTTGTTCCCAGTGAGTCAGTGTCTTATTTATTTAAATTATTTCCCGGTCAAATATAATAAAGAATAGTTTTTGGTGTATTTAAGGGAAGCGGAGTTTTGCGCGTAAAGGCGCCGCGCTCAGCAGGACCAACCTGCGCTCCGCTGCTGCGCTGCTTCGCGACAAATCAAAGAAATAAAGTCCAGATTTGGGAAATTTCTCTATTTTCTTTTTAACAAAAGAAAAAAAAACGTTTTCCTCCAATGCGCTCCTCCTCTCCTCTCCTCTCCTCTCCTCTCCTCTCCTCTCCTCTCCTCTGCGCTCCGCTCCGCTGCAGTGATGTCAGCCGCTCTGGGTCATTTGAAGGTCAGCAGCTCGGAGGTTCACCCAAAGTTCAGGCGCATAAATTAGGCGATTCAATCTTTCAGTCGGTGCCAAACTGGAAATGAGGAGCAGAGAGGAGCCGCGGCTCTCCAAACACCTCCCTGCTGAAAGAACGAGGCTCCGCTCACAGCCGAACCGGGAGGAACCCGCCGCTGGCCGCCGGAGAGCCGGGCGCTCCTAGGAGAAGCTGCGGGACCGACATCCTTCAGGAACCCGCTGCGGGACGGAGGAGGAGAAGGAGGAGAGAGAAATCCGCTGCGCTGAGGAGGAGGAGGAGAGTGGAGGAGGAGGGGTGAAGAAGAGGAGTTAGATGGAGTTGTGTTTCTGCGCAGAGCGCTCAGCAGTAGGAGAACATGTTCGACTGCATGGACCTGCTGGCCGTGAGTCCCGGACAGATGCTGGACTTCTACACGTCCAGCTCCTCCTCCTGCATGCTGCAGGAGAAAGCTCTGAAAGCCTGCATCAGCGGCCTGGCGCAGCGGGACTGGAGGCAGCGGAGGAGCGCGCACTGTAGGTCCACCTCCCGCTCTATGGACAGGCCGGGACCCCCGGGGCCCCACCTGTTGCTGCTTTTATTTTATTTTATTTTTTTTGGGAGGGGGGGGGATGCATGGCTGCGTTTTTATTGAAAAACTAGATGAATCACTGAGATCACCGCAGGAACAGGATCACAGGAGAAGTTTGGCTGCTAGAAGTTTATAGAGCTGCATTTATAGAGTCTACTCTATAAAAAGAGGGGTGGGGGGGGGGGACCTGCGGCCCCTGACACTGATTTAGATAAATAGCTCCTCAATAAGATCGGTGGCTGTTCTCTAAGCTGTGAGGATGAGGATGATAGATGAAGGTCATGCAGGGACTGGATCAGATCAGTTTATTTTACTGATAATAGAAATACATAGAATAGATGTTGCAGCAGTTTTTACCGTCAGCCGCTGCTGCAGGTCAGGGACCCATCAGGTGGCCCCCCCCCGCCCTGCGCTGTCAGGAGGGCTGCTTATCCACAGCAGGAGAGCTGATCCAGCTGTGACCTTTGACCTGCAGCTGGGTCACATGGTGGCGAACATCTGCTTATTTCTAATATCCAAAATATTCCTGAACGGTTTTGATAAGAAGAAAACCAATATAACAGGTGTGTGTGTGTGAGTGTGTGTGTGTGTGTGTGTGTGTGTGTGTGGGTGTGTGTGTGTGTGTGTGTGTGAAGTCAATAATGAACAATTTCTAAAAATGATTAAAACAACATTTTTGTTTTTCATACAAAAAAAAACAAAACAACAAAAATATTAAATTAAAAAATAATAATATGTATAAATATATAATATATGTAATTTAGTGTGTATTTATTGGCGTGTTTCATTTCATCCTTTTCTTTTTAATGTTATTCACTAGAATAAGGACCCGGTTGATCTTTTAATGTGATTTTTATGTGAATCTATTGTTGCCGTAGATTTTCCACATAGATCTGCGTATTTCAGGGTTTTTGTTGCTGCGTTTTTCTGCCTCTGCATCTAAACGGCGATCCAGATACGGCAGCATGAGGGAAGGCGGACGGAAACGCTTTGCTTTGTTTCACAATCTATTCAGCTTTTTCTATTTTTCTGCTGATTGAATTTATTTTCCTTTTTATTCTATTTTTTTATTTTCCGTCTAGTTTTTGCAGAAAGTCCTTTGTCTCCTTGTTTCCACATCCAGTCTATTCAGGGACTGAAATAAATGTTTCTTTTAGATTCATATAATTCCTGATATAAAGCGGTATCATAATTATTGGTTTTAAAACCTTTAATAACCTCGATCTGCAGTTTTCCCGCCATGTTAGAGAAAAAGCAGCGGGAGGCGTTCCGAGCTGGGATAGAAATCAGGAATTAATCTGTTAAATAAATAAAATAAAGAACAATTAGATCATTGATCAACATTTAAAAGCCATTGATCAGGAACGCTCCTCTGATCAAACACGCCTCATAAAGAAATGTGTTTTTATTGAGACGCTTTTAATTCTGTAAAAGATGATTTATGTTTATTGTTGCTGCTGAGCTGCGGCTGTTTTTCTGACTGCAGCAGATTCATGGAATTAAACCTTTAAACTGTCCATCTCCTGCGTTAAACGTCACATTTTAACCTGCTTGTTATTTCGTCTGACCGGCAGCTGGTTTTCCAGCAGACCGGTCTGCTCCTAACGCCGCGCCGTGCCGCCATCAGCTTTCTGTTTAAATAGTGACTCTGTTTTTAAGCCTGCAGGTTTGGTAATAAGTAGGACAGAAGTTCAGCGGCCCTTAGGGCCCCACTTTGGCCGCGCCTCGGCCCTCTGACCTGCCCCAGCAGAGAACAATAAACTGCTGCTTGTTCTCCAGCGGAGTGGAGGCTCTCTCCCAGGGTCAGAGGATTGTTGGTTTATTTATTGGAGATAATGGAAACCTCCTGGGTGTTAATTAGCCGCGCTGACAACAGGCCCACCGTTAATGCATTTCCTCACCCAGTTATGATGTTAATTAAGAATGATCAAGGACCTCCTTAACGTAGATGAAATGGGCTTTTCAGGCTGCAGAACGGCAGCCTATGATGCTGGTGATGCAGGAAGGAGGACCGATTGATTTAATTGCATCAAAATGCAGCTAAAGATAAAGCTAACTGGCTTAAAAGAGCGCAGCCTGAAACAGGCCGGGATGCTCAGGGATGAGCGGAGCTCCACTGATGTGTGTGATGGGATAATTGGAGCTTTTTTTTGTCTTCAAGGCTTAAGCGTGTCTGATGTGGACATGAGAGGCTATTAGCACAGCTTGCACACCGAGCTCATTTAGTGGATGTGTGAAATGAAAGGCGGATGGGGGGAAATAAAAGTCCTGTTCTGCTGTGAAATGAAACAGAGCTGCTGGCCGTGTTTAATCAACAGCATTAGGACGCCGTCAGGGTCCCGCTGGAGTCAGATACTGATACCATGAAGCACCATCACACGCCAACACGGAAGAATTAACCCAAAGGCTCCAGAAAC